GGGGGGGTGGGGGGGGGTGGGGTGCGGAATGTGAGTTTCAGGAGGCAGGCGGTGAGTTTGGGATTGCTTAGGGGCATGGTGTCAGGCTGGAGAAACTGGCTGAACTGCTGGAAGGAATCTGCCCCAACCTGCTGTAGCCCTGCGCTGCTGGGAATCTGCCTCCTTTCTGCTCTAATCTTTGGTAGCCCTTGCAGTGCAGGTAGGCATTGCCCCACCTTGCCGTGCCTCTGGCGTGCACATGCTCCTCACCTGTCTTTGCAGCAAAGCCCAGCAGTCACATTCTGCTCTAGGACTGGTGGCTCTTGTTGCCTGAAGTGACCAAGTCCTCTTTTCTGAGCTACCCCTGGGATAACCCTTTGTCATGACAGCAACCTCTAGCAAGCCGAGGGTTGACAACAACTCTACTGTGGAGCTGTGGTGTCCATGAGAGGGCAAAACAGGCCTGTGTTCTTACAAGCAGAAGCTGAACAGGTAGGCTAGAAACCAGACTGCTGCTCGCTGTGTTTCAGGTAGCTGCCACAAAACCCTCAGCGTGGCCTTCGGGAACCACTGACAGCCAAGACATATGGCGGCTTTGCATGGCTCTGGGTCTTGAGGGAGCTTACATGGTCTTGTGTCCTGACAGCTTCTGGGTGGTGTGACTTGCTCTGACCAGCTAGGATAGAGCTTCTGAAAAAAAAGCTTCCAGTCGCAAGGCTACTGGAGGGGAAGAGTAGTTTCTGAAATTTAAAAATTTTCTTTATTTTTTTTTCTAAGTTGCACAGTAGCTGGGAACTGAAAAGCAGAGTTGCTTTTGAGCTTATGATAAACATCACTAAAACCACCTGATGCTTTCTCATTAACCGTATTTACCATCTCATTAAGTAGCAGCCACTGCTTTTAAGTTGTTAGTGGGCTTAAATCTGCTCCTGGCAGATGTCTTAAGTAAATACTTAAGAGGTCTTGTGCATGAGCTGTATTGTAGAGACAAAGCCCAGGGCCTTAGAAGGACATGGCATGTTGTAGAAGGATTTTCAGAGGGTGGTCAGAAGAGTAGCATCATTTCATCTGATTCCAGCTGCTTCAGCCTGTCCCAATTTGGAAGTAGTGGGAAGAACAGATCAGAGGCAGTAAATCTCTTGACTGCAGAGGAAAAGTGGTTGCCCTTCTTCTAAAGTGCTTTCAGTCAGCCCAGTAATGGATCTTGGCAGGGATCTGTGAGTACATTTCTGACCTTGTGTAGTCTTCCTTTGTGCGGGGCTCTCTTGGCCTGGACGAGATGGCCATGCTGCTCTCCAGGGGCTGAAGTTCCTCCGTACTGCTGCCCCACTTCCTGCTGACTTCCCCTTGGGTTGCGGAGGAGAGGAACAAGGACATCCATACAAGAGCAAAGCTGGAGCTCTCTTCTCTACTTGTGTGGCACCACTTCTCTGGCAGCCTGATCTTCCAGGCTTTATTTTGCTGCTGCGGTGGTTGTTTGTCTGTCCCGGCTGTCTGACCCTGCCAGGACATCCCCATTGTGCTGCTGTGCTGGCAGGTGACACGCTGGGGAGGCTATTTTCTGTGTTAACCCTGATTTGAACACGATTGCCTTGGGATGAGGCAGGTGGCATCGGAGGGATGCTCCCCTGGAGAGCTTAGAGCAG